GCAGGATGCCGAAAATGGAAATTAATATCTTTATTTCATGTTCAGTCGCAAATGAATCATTATTAGTCGTTTTTAATGAAAATTATTTGAAAAAAATTGAAAATATTGATATTCATTTTTAAATAATCTTTACGAAAAATCAATCTAAAAGTAATCTTATAAATAGAATCACACATTTATCTGTTCTTTTAGATACATCAATTTTTCTTGTAATTATCTGATGTAAAAAAATGTAAGATTACGTAAATTGTTATTTTTAAATAGCTGTTTTTTTCAAAGCTTTTATTTAAAAAATGATAAGAATTAATAGATATAAATAGTACACAATAGGTTTTCAAAAATATACTGCTTATATACAAAAAAGTAATTGAAAAAATTACAATAAATTAAATTTTTTATAAATAAAGCTATTCTGTGTGCTTTTATAAGTCGACTTTCTTCTCATTTAAAAAATCTATATTATATCGATTCTCAAAAGTCTCGAATCTCGATGCGGATTATTTTTTGTTGTCAAGTCAATTTCATATCTGACAGCTCTTGATTATCGCGTCAATTTATGAATTGTTAAAATTAAAGTCTGTTTTAGTCTTTGCATAATACATTATATAATGTATAATCAATTCGCTATTAATGTGTTATGCAAAGATTAAAAATTGCGAAAGAAAACGTCGATGAAAGATTATGTGTTATAGAATTTTATATAAACTAACCTGCCTGTTGCAAAATAGTTTTGCATTTTCAATATTTTATTATCTCGGTTTCTGTTTTTAATAGTTGTATAATGCCCAGTAGTTTCGGTTGTTTTTAAACGTTTCAGTTTTATTTCTTTGTCAGTTATTAATATTTGCAGATTATCTGTAAGCATATTATTTTTCAAAGTTTACTTTATATATAAAATGGAAAAAAATATTAATGAGAATATTACCTAAGAAACTCCAGACGTTTTCATGAAATTTACTGAATTTTCTTCCTGCTATGTTATGGAAAGTTTCTGTTATATTATTTGTCCTTACAGGACAATCATAAAGCTGATTT